CCGAAAATGCATCAAAATCACGTATTTTCACAATTCCAGAACCGGATCTCAGTCATGCATGGATGGATTTTGTTCAGATTTAGCACAATGTGTTGTACATATGCAGGTGCATTTCGGTCATGATCTGCTTTGAATGTATATGTCACTCAAATATGAACGGAACGGGGACGTGTCATTGACAATGACTTGTTCATTTTGTAATGATATCTTTAATTCTCTAATTTCGGTGAATATTTTTGTAATTTTTGGTAAAAAGTGATATTTTCGACTTCTTGTTGAAAACCGCAAGTCCAATTGCTTTGATATTACATATATAGGTACTACATGTGGACCTCTCTCAGATTTGTTCATTTCATGATGATATCTTTAATTCTCTAATTTTGATGAATATTTTTGTAATTTTTGGTAAAAAGTGATATTTTCGACTTCTTGTTGAAAACCGCAAGTCCAATTGCTTTGATATATTATACATATAGGTACTACATGTGGACCTCTCTCAAATTTGTTCATTTTCTAATGATATCTTCTGTTCTTTAATTGCCATGTGCATTGCTAACAGCGGAGCTATCTCAGCCGACAGGCTGCTTGTTGTACTAACAAATTATTAAAATCAAGCATTTCTCTGCTGTTTACAGATGGATTTTGTTCAAACTTGGTATATACGTAGGACATTATAAGACCTTGATGCATATAATTTTGTTTTTCAGATAAGATTCAAAATGGCCTACTGGCGGCTATTTTGTTTTAATGAATGTGGTTCTAGTGCCATATTTTTAACTTGCTGTGATTGATTATGTTCAAATTTTAAATATTCATTATACATCATGTCATAGATATACAGATATATTGGTTTGACGATCCTATTCAAAATGGCCGAATGATGGCCATTTTTGTGCTAAAAAAATCATCAAATATCAAGCATTTCTGGCATTTATGGATGTATTTTGTTCAAACTTGGTACATATATTAGACATTACAGGTTCCTGATGCACTTTATTTTATTTTTTTAGACCAGATTCAAAATGGCTGACTAGTGGCCATTTTGTTTTAATGAATGGGCTTCTAGAGCCATATCTCTGACATGTTTTGACTGACTATGTTCAAATTTTATATATTCATTATACATGTATTAAAAATGGCTAATTTTGTTTTAATTAATGCTGTTCCAGAGCAATATCTCTCAATACTCGTTTGACGATCAGATACAAATGTCAATCATTTAAATGTTAAACAATCATCATAATCATATTCCTGTTTATATTCCAGCTATATTACTATAAACAAAACTATATATCTTAAATTCGATAACTAACAGGGACTGTGCCATGCATGGCTTGTTTAACCCATTTTGGATAAATATGGTATGAAGGCAAAATTGGGTTTTGATACATGTATAAACATATATTCAACTGGCGTCGTAAATTTTTCTGCCACACTTAACCAGTCTTGTATACATACGGTTCCAGTGCAAGACGTAATGTTTTCAATGTAATTTTTGTTTTCTTGATATCTTTCCCAATACGGCTCAGATTGATAACAATTTCTGATGCTTACTAGTACCGGTAATCATTTGTGTGTGTTGTATGTCATCTACAGTGTGAAGTGATTTGTCATTACAGGAAGTGGAACAACAACTTATGATGGAGTACAGAATGAAAGCAAAATCAGAGAAATTTTACAACAAGTTGGTTGAATCACACAAGGGAAAAGGTAAAATCAGTACATTGTTTATGTTCTGTGCGTGTATTGTAACATATGCTTGTATTATATTGTGGTATAATCTCTCATTCATTATGGTAATGTTGCTATTCTAACATTCAATTGAATTTTTTCTCAAATTATACAAAAGAACCAATTAAGGTGCTAACAGTGTTGGGGTTAATCTTAATAAAAAATATACCATGCATCGCACCCATGTAATGCTGTTTGTTATGAGGGTAATCTTTCAAAGTTTGTTGTTGTCTTTGTCATGTTTGTTACTGTACTTAATGATGTTATAAAAATTGTATGTTATCACATGACCATCAATATATACGAGTAATATTCGTAATTTAAAATGTGGGTCAATCGATGCGCTTTAGACGGCTTTTTGGTTCTCAGAGTTGGTCATGTGATGAAATGATGATCACCTGATATTACTTGTGGTGTTGTAATCACTCTTTAGTTTACTCATATATACCAGCTGTACAGACAAGTAATATCAGGCGATAGCTTTATAATATTAAATACATTTGCCATGTTTGTTTGTGTACTAATGATGTTATATTTATTCATGTCCATCCATTCATTTTTATCTGCTGCGGATAATAACAGAACCAGGTTTGTTCTGTTTTTACATTTTTATATTGTGAAGCACAGATATGCCATTGCACGGTCATTTCTGCCAACATCACCTTTGCAGTGTGTTTAATTTTCTCAACTTTTCACTTTAAGTTAATCTGCATGTAATGATATCATCTGTCAGTCTGCTTGTGAAAACATAATGTATCTGTTCGGCCAAAATCAAAATATGTCTTTAACCCTTATTCTGCCAGTTCCATGTACTTTAATGTACTTCCATGTACTTCCAGTTCCATGTACTTCCATGTTCCATTAATAGCAGTGATATTGCAGTGTGTTAGAATACCCAAGCTACTGCTATATGTCCAAACAATGTATTCTCTGGGAATTTGTTATACTGAAAACCTACTATCAATAGTTTTGTCACATTTCACAGTAATTGAATCTATTTTTTGGCATCTAGTCATATTGGATTTTAATAAAAAAAAAGCATCCTTTCAGCTGCTACTGTTAAATATATCATCCAATCGGCTTACTGATACTAAATATATCATCCAATCGGCTTACTGATACTAAATATATCATCCAATCAGCCACTGCTTTAAGATAAACTAGGATATTGTCTTACTGATACTAAATACATCAATTACTACCAATCAACTGATCTGGTATCATAGAAATAAAATAACATATTATGACTTTGGTTTGGATGCATATAATGTTTCATTGTATGAGACTATATCTGATATTGTACTATTAGTCACTTGTAGTGTGATTATTTGTGTCTTTGCCAATTGGATTTACATGAAGTGACATCACCTGTGTTGTGTGCGTGCATATTTTGTAGTGTCACTATGCTGAATATAACATCTACACATGTATTTTGGAAATGCACATATTTATAGATTATGCATAAAGCACATCCTATTATTTGTGAGATGACAGTCAACATTGAACTATAAATGTACACCAGGTGTCAGAGTTTTTGACCAATCAACTGAATATAAATACACTATGCATATGTCTCATATTATTTGTTTCAACAAATTTATTGTTTCAACAGTTGGACACTGGAAGAATTTATTACTTGATATCCAGGAGAGAAAGTCACTTTGTAGATGACATGTTCTGTTCAGATCACCAATTAAATTCAGCAAACATGCATTTACTATGGATTGAACTGATTATCTTCTATTTGCTGCTTTAGGGAATGATCAGAAAAACATGGTTGGTAAGGTTGGAAAACAGATTTCTGAGATGAACAAGAAAATAGATTTCTTGGATAGTGCCAAGCGTCATCTTGAGATGTTGTATGCTGAACAGTGGGGATTGGACCATGTACTACTCCACTCATTTGCAACTTGGTAAAGTTATAATATTTTGATTTTACCAACTCACTTTGTTGTCTATATTTCCATTTAAGTTTCATTAGTTATTAAGATTGATAATTATGTAATAATAAATTGTAGTCTTTCCATGGTAACCGCTTTTACCACTAAACTTTTCTATGGAAATATTTACTTTTTTCATTCCTAGTTGTGTTGTGTATGTTTTATTGCTCTACCTTTCTGTTCATTATATTGTCAATAATTTAAAAATATTATACATATCTTTTCTGATCAAGATATGACAGCATCATACATTTACTATTCACTGTGTCCTCAATGTGTTTGATGGAAATACAATTCTATGTCTTTATTATTGTGAATGTACTTGTCAAATGTTGCTTACTATGTGTTTTTTGTAGTACTTGTAATCAGCCAATGCAACTGTTGCCAAGTGATGACAATCCACTATTAGTATTCCACTCAACAAAAGAAGGACGAATGTTACAAGCCGGTACACCATCTGGATTATTTTCTTTTCTCTTTGCAAGGTAGGTACTTCAGTATTGGATTTACATATTTACACCACAAACAGGATGACATCTCAGCATCTGATGTTTTACATAGAAACTGCATTATGTTTATCTTTTCACCACCGGTTCCCTCTTTTCACCACCAGTTCTCTCTTTTCACCACCGGTTCCCACTTTTAATCACAAATTCACAAAATAGTCCCATATATAGTCTGCACTTTCCTTCAGCAGATTTGCACAAAAATAAACACATTTTTTTTTTTAAGTAAACTTTTGAAATTGACTCAAATTTTTTCGGTTGCCTCCAAAATTAGGGTTCATTTTCAGAAATATTGAAGAATATAAGAAAAAAATATCCAGAAAAAATTGGGTGATAAAGTCTGGTGGTGAAAAGGTTAAAGCAACAAACACTCTGATACCTGCCATGTGTAAACCAATATTCAGTTCATTGAAACAAAATTAAAACGCTATTGTTGTGATGTCAAAAAATAGTAATTAAAACATCTAATATTAATGATTTTTGAGAATCTGGTTTTGATAAAGTAGTAGTGTTTCATAATGAAATTATCTCTGATAAGATCATAATTATGTATTATTATTGAGTATCATACTGAAAGCTGACTGAAACTTGTTACTTATAAATATTCATTTTTTTTTGTTTTCAGGCAAGCATTATTGGAAGGATATCTACATCATTTTTTCTACACCTATAATTATTTTGCTACTGCCAAAGATCTATTCAAATTTATCACTGACAAATTTCTCAGTGCTTTAAGGTGAGTTGGCACACAATCAGCATTGTTGACCTTTCCACCACCAGTATAAATTATTGTAACCTTCCACATATTTGTAGCCAAAGTTTCATCAAGTATTGTTAGTATCAGAATGCACACTGATACTACAAATAATAATATCAGTGGTGAGACCAGTAGTTACATTTTTAATGATTGATAAAAGCAGCCAGATATATGTTATAGAAAGTCATACTGGGTTTTAGCTCCCGCTGTCGACTTTGTC